GATTAATCAAGATCTTTTAGCAAAATGAACTCCATTCCAGACAATCGCTGGCCGTTAATGTGGACTAGGAGTGGACTGCTATCTCCGACGTACCTTGAATCAGCCATGAAGCCCCAGTCTCCCTCCATCATTCCTGCTCTGCTCACCGACATTCGAAGTCCTCCAGCTTCACAATCGTGGGTCAAGCAGTCGATCATGAAGACACTAGCGATCAAATGATTGCCTTCTGACTCGCCTTGCTGCACTTTGGCGCGCTGATAAGTCATTTTCGAAGGACGAGGAAAATTTATTCTCCGAACTAACCGAAAGTTATGTAGAGAGTAGTCTAGGCTGTTTTGGGCACCGTTGGGTGTTTTCGTTCACATTACTTTTAGTCTCGTCGCCTACTGTAATGTGTTTACGATGGTTTATATTATAGGTACCCCTGAGTATTATGTCTGTGGGTAAACGAACATGTGTCGACTGCTGTTTTTGTCTCAACCTTCGTACGTCTCAACTCTTCATTCCACATTTCCCCAAAACGGTTCTTCTGTTCGGCTCAACAGCTACGACATGTTTAACACAACTCGTTCGACCTCCTTTTTTTCCTTTCTAGGTGATTGATGCCAATAGTGATCCTCGGACAATCATTCGAAATACCCTAGACCCGGCCATAGTAGCCCGCCGACTACGTATCTACCCTTACAGTGCCCGAGTTCAGCAACAAATTTGCCTCCGGTTCGCCCTGTACGGCTGCGAGTTCAAAGGTAAGTGTCTGTTCTCCGGGCGTTATAAAGCCATCCGTTTCTCTGCACCCCGACCCCTAGTCTACCGGTTAATCGTTCAGGCCAGGTAGGGCAGCGGCCGAACAATCAGTTTCTGACATTTTTCCACCATAATAAGTAGACTTTGCATTTAGTATTCCGCTTATACACCAAAACAACTGGAAAGGCTCACTTTAATGTCATGGAGCCAGCCCGGAGTCATGGAAAACATGAATACAGGATCGGTGAGCATGACAAGTTACCGTTAAGTATAGCTGTAACCGTCAACACCAATCGAGTTGAGGTCAAGGGGAAACCGGTAGGAATGCAAGACTGGAATACCGAGGACTGCGGCCCAACTACTTCTATACACCTTCTAGGCATCGTAATAATA